TTGGAGCTTTGCCCTTTTGCTGCCTGGTCTTTTGCTGGCTTCTCTGATGTGGGTGCAGCTGGGCAGCACCCCAAGCCTGCAGGCCAGGAATAGCTGGGCTGCATGCCTTGCTGGGGCTGTGTTGGCTTCTGCCCTGCTCTGACCGGTGCCTGCCTGGGTTGGGCTGGGCTGAGGGTGTAGAGGAAAGGCATTGCTGCTCATTTCTTGGGGCTGGGGCCTCCGTGCCCCCCTGCCTTAAATCAGTAGTGAGCAAAACTTCCCCCTTGTCTGATACTGTGCAAACCGGATAAGGATTTGTGCCTGCACATGGTCAATGCACGTGCATTGCTGCCTTAGGAAATCAGGTTTAAAAGGTGGATAGGATTATTATCACTTTAGTGGGGCTGGCACAGGGCAGCACCAGCCTGAGCTGCACTTTCCAGATCGACCAAACCCCTTCCTCACCCTAGGGGTTGCTCTGTGAGTTGCAGGTGTGTATCCTACATAGAGGCAGCCGCTTGGAGCTGTGTCTGAGGAAATCCACAGTGCAGGAGAGGAAAGCAAACAAATGGGAAGGGGCAGCCAGGCAGGACACGGTGGTGGGTGGAAGCAGAGCTTTGGAGGGAAGAGGAACTCCAGGAAGATTAAAGAGTTTACAAGAACAGGCATCTCCCCATGGGGAGCACTGCAGGGAATGGCGTCAGTGCATACATTGCTTATTTCCTGCCCCCCTCCCCTCCTGCAACCTCTGTCCTCTGTTAGGTGTGAGCTCCAGGGTTGGTTCAGCTGAGAGTCACTGCCCAGGGAGGGGGAGGGGGGTTCAGGGACAGAGCTGCTGCCCTGTGGAGGGCCCCCTGCTCTGCTGATCAGAGCTGAAGCACCTGCCTGTGCTGTGTTATCTCCTGCTCCAGTGCCTGGGTGCTTATCAGGGAGCTTCAGCTGGGCTGGAAATGGGGACTCCGAGCCCCAGCATAACTCAGAGCAAACAGAAGATGCTGTCTGAGCTGAGAGCTGTGTGCTGGGGGCCCATTGCCACCAGCCAGGTCCCGGCATGCTGGGCAGCCAGTTTGCCTTGGCAGGGACCCTGCTGTTGTTCTCAGGCCTCCTTTGTCTCAGTTTCACCTCCTGGGCTGGGGAATTGCTGCCTGGTTCCCTTCCCATGAGTTCAGCCGTGGCCCCGGTTCACCCCAGTGCCTCCACTTTGGCCGTGGGGACACCCGGTTCTAATTGGGGACCCTATGGTGGTCTGGTGATGGTGGTCACCACCTGCATCCGCCATTCCCTGAGCAGAGGCACAACCCGTGGGACCCTGCAGGTCCCCCTGCGTGGTGGAGACCCCCAGACCACAAATATTAAGTATTAATAGAGGTTCAAGGACAAATAACAGTTCTGTAGGGTGGATTCGGGGCTCCTTCATCCATCCCCAATGCTGCTCCGCCCCGAGGTCAGATGGGCGGTTGGAATGGAGCCCTCCAGCCCGGCCCTATGGGCACCCCGTTCCCATCCCCGCTGTGTTCGGTACAGGTTGGGGTCAGCTGGAGTTTGCCCACGGGCAAGCCGCGCTCTGCAAACAGCACAGAGCAAAGGGCAGCCGGCGTTACTCGGCCGTTCGCCCCGGACAAACTCCGTCCGACCGCCTTCCGTGCTGTTTTCCTCCCCCTCGCTTCTGCCCTTCCCCACCGCCCGCGGATGGCGGCACGGGAGCGCGCCTCCGCGGGGCCGCGTATTGCCTCCCCCACTTCCCCCTCGGGCCTTCCCATTGGCTGCTCGCCGCACGGTGGGCGGAGCCTCGGCTGGACCGGCCCGAACCGGCTCTCCCCGCAGGGAACGCGAGGCAGAAGGGCGCTCTCTGAGCCCTTCTCTCTGATTGGTCAGATCTAGCTGAGGGGGTGGGACAAAGCTCCTGAGCGGCGGCGCTATTGGTAGAGAGGAGCGCCGATGGGAACGTGGTTCCGCCGCTCTGTCCTTCTCTCCCTCGTGACCCGGCGCGGCGCTTATAGTAGGCGGTGCGGGGCGGCGCGGAGTGCGGGCGGAGATGGCGGCGGGCGCGGACGTGCGGTGCGCGGTTCTGGCGCTGCTCGTGCTCGACTTGCTGGCGACCGGCGGCGATGCTACAGGTGCGGTACCGGGAGATGGGGTGGGAGGGCTGGAAGCGCGGCGGGGAAGCGGGGTGGGATTGGATGTGAGCTTTATAGGGGGCGAGCGCTGGGAGACTTCGATACCGGTCCGGAGGTCATCAGCTCCGGGATGGGAGAACTGCTCCTAAGAGCGGCTCGGTGCGAGGCAGCCGTGGGGGTGGGTTGTATGGGGGGGGTCGGTGGGCTCCTCGAGGGGTTGGGGCCGGGCGGGAGGCTCGGTCTCCCTGCGGCGAGGCACGTTCGCTGCGGGGCGGGGCTGCCCGGGCCATGCCGGGGGTGGGGGGAGCTGCCCCAGGTCTGGTACCGCCGCTCCGCCTCCGTTCCTATCGCGCGGAGCCTCCGAGAGCGGCGGGGAATGGAGCGGTGCTGATCCGAACTGCGAATTGCCCGCAATAAACAACGGGATAACAGCCGCTCCTCCTTCTGCTTGGGTTTATGGAGGAATAGCGGCTCTGAGGGCGTTAAACCCTTAAGGATGTTCACATGGAGCTTAAGTTGCTATAATCCTCCGTCGCAGGAGGGTCGGTGCCGTGCCCGGTGCCGTCGGATCGCTCCGTATCCGCCCGTTCTCAGCTGTGCTAGCGCTGCCATTTCTCACTTCTTTTTATCTCATGGCATAAAAACGTGGCCGGGGTTCGTTCTGGGGCCTCGGAGTTTTGAGGTTTTTCCCCGGAGGTTTCTGACTCAGCCCCTGATGCAGATCGGAGCTTGGGGCTGACTGTTGCTTGTGGCGATGCTGAAACGTTGATGCCGCGTTTAGGCTACAAAGTTACTGCAAGGTTCCAATTGGGATCCAAACGCTGGAGCCTGAGGGCAGAAACGTCAGCCCAGGCATTTCCCTACTGCAGAGAAGTTTAAATTCCCCTGCAATAGCTGTAACCCCTGGGGGAGCAGGAGATAGAATGGAGGGATGCTTTATTCCCAGAGCCCGGGGCTGCAGCCAGCAATCCCCTCTGTACACAGCTGGATGGATGGGACCTGGCACTGAATGCCTCCTGTCTTTGTGTGCCCTCAGGCAGGGCTTAAGAGGAAACTTTCTGCCCTGGCCTTGTGGTTTTTCCCTTCTTCTCTGAGCAGCCCCTTCAGATGATGAAGTTGGGTCCAACGCGTCGAGGTGCTGCCTTTAGGGAATACGTGTGGATAGAAATTTGGGGTCCCTTTGTGGCTGTTTAACTCTGTTGAGTATGGATGTGCTGATTTCTGGGTGTTGGGGGGGGGTCTGTTTGGGATATAAGCCTTTAGAATGGGGCACCTTGTTTTCCTCCTTTGCTTTTGACAAAGAATTTAGTGCGTGATGCAGAGCGAGTGTGGAGAAGCTGTTTCCAGCCCTGCAAACCTGGGTGGGAGGGCCTGCCCTGCAGGCAGCTGCTGTTAGATCTGCATTGTAAAGGATGTGCTTAATGAAGCACCTTTCCTGACCGAGTTCAGCGGAGATTACTTTTCACATCAACCAACTGGAGAGGTTATGGAGGGGGGAGGGTTCACCTCTCCTCCACGTTCAGCACTTTTTGGAGCAGGATCTGCTCTGCAGCCTCTCTGAACTGCTCTGAGTGCCCTTTAACTCATAGCACGTAACCTTGCAGCAGCTTGTTTTATCAGCCTGCTATAATCACCTTGTAACTGTAAAACACACATACACGCCCCAAAATGAAACAAAATGCAAACCCACTGCTGCTTATTAGCCCCTATTTAGAGTCAGGCTGTAGTTAACAGGGACAGGCTGCTACATGTGCTGGTGTTGATGTCGTGGCTCTTTGCAATGAGGTGGTTGGGAGCATTTAAGCCCGGCAGTGTGATGCACAAAACCAACCCTGCAGCTCCAGACACCTCCTACATCTCTTGCTTAAAAACAAAGCAATTCAGGATCATCGTTCTGGTGTCCCTGTTGTGTTTCTGTAATCTTTTCGTGGCTTGGAAACTAAAGCTGCTTGCAAAGGTGTTTCTGAAAGGTGCATTTTTAGGAGTGAACTGCAGTGCTGTTGTTGACACAAAATAGCAGCAGCCTCCCAGGCTGCTCTGACCTCTGCTTTAAGGTGCCTTGGTTTTAAATATCAACTGTCTGCTAAAGCTGCCTTGTATCCTATGAGGTCAGAGCTCTCCTTGTTTCTCCAGGCTCGTCTCTCCCTGCAAACCTCTGAAGTTTCAGTGTAGAAAGCTAAATCTCCCTTTGAGAAATGTACCTTGCAGGCTCCTTTGTGTTTGTCTTGAGGAAACTTGGTTTCATAATGCCAACTTGCTTTCTGTGCTCCCCAAACCAGCCATGAGGTGGCACATTGAAATGTCCTAAGGCATGTAAAAACAACAAAAAAAATAGCCTCAAACCCCTCTCCCTCATGCCTGTGTGTTACAAAACCCACGTGGAGCCGTCTGTATGACCGTGACATGGAAGTGCTTGATACCAGCCAACTGATTTCCTGGGGATGCTTTTATTCTGCACGTGTGCTGCTGGCAGTTCTGGGAAGAGCAGCCTGCAGTCAGCTGCAGGAAATACGTGTTGCAAACCTCCCCAGTTCCTCTGGAACCTCGCTGGGGCTGTCACGTAAGTAGCACTGACTCCACAATGCCTTTTCCTGGAGTGATGCTGGCTGAGCCACCCTTCCTGCCCTCCCCACCCTCCAGGGCCTCTTTTCCCTCCCCCGTGCTGTGATGATTTGGGCAGTCTGGGGCTGCTGGATGTGGCTGATAGCCGCTGGAGGTGTTTGGCAGCTGAGCTGTCAGAGCCCTGCATTGCTTTAGCTGCAACCTTTGGACTGTCTGCTCTCAGATGTGGACCCCTGGAGTCAATAAACACGCTGTATATTTCTAGGTGATTGGTTTTAACCTGTTTATTACTGATTTACCTCTGCAAAGTTGGCTTGCCTGGGGTGAAAAGTCTCATCTTGCTGTCTGCCAGTGGATATGAAGGGTGAGAAATGCCTCTGCACAGTGTGAAATCAGCACGGCTCGTAATATTCTCAGCTTGGGGAGGTTGGAGCAGGACTTGTAAGGTGGGAGAAATACTTCAGATACCCCCGCTGGTGTTGTTACAGCAAGGAGCCATGCTCAGATGCTCAGCGTAGCCATAGAGGTGTGTGCAGGGAAGTGCTTTTCATGCTGCTGGGAGGCAGGGCTGGCTCTGTGCTTGCAGTGTGCGTGGCCTTATTGCTCTCCCAAGCCCGGAGGACACCTCACTGCAATGAGATGCAGACAATTCCCTTGCAGGAAGCATTCCTGTTTGCATAGCTGGGAGCACTGCACGCTCTCCTGCAAGCTGTGGCTTTGCAATAGGAAATCTGGCTGGTGGTGGAACAGCTCAAACTGAGAGCCATAGGTTAAGGGGAGGGAGAGAAGGCAGGCAGTGACCCGAGGATTATTTGCAGCCTCATCTCAACGGCTGAGTTTTTGCTTGTGGCAGGTGGATTCTTGCTTTGCACTAACACTTTGCACTAATACCTCTTCAACTCGTAGCTGGTTTTATAAAGTCACCACTGTCTCAAAGGAGACTGACTCAGGACAGCGTCGAGTTGCACTGCGAGGCCGTTGGCAATCCCATCCCTGAAATCCAGTGGTGGTTTGAGGGTAACGAGCCTAATGAGACCTCTGCTCAGCTTTGGGATGGCGCGTGGCAGGACCGGGTCAAAATCAACGCCACCTACAACCTGCATTCCACCAGCACCATCTACATCGCAAACCTCACCAGCGACGACTCGGGCACTTATGAGTGCAGGGCAAGCAACGACCCTGATCGCAATCACTTGTCGAAGAGCCCTAAAGTCAAGTGGATCCGTTCACAGGCCAACGTTCTGGTCATCGAACGTGAGTGGCCGTCCTGAGGCCTTGACACTTGCTCGGACACCGGTGTCTTGAGTCTCCTGCCATGTTCACCCTTGCACCCGTGGCTCCCGAAAGTCCCCCTCACCTTCTCACCCCGGCTGTAGAACCGAGAGACTTCCCCCCTTCATCCCCCAGATCCCTCCCTCCCCCCTTTCTGTCATCTCCTCCACCACCTCTGGCTTGACCTCAACTGGCCCTGCTCAAAAAGGGTTGTGACTTCCCATCCAAAACACCATCCTGTGTCTTTTTGTGGATCCAAAGACCTGGACTGTTCTGCTTATCCCCGAGTGCCTCTGTGCCCCAGTGCTGGCTTGCAGAGCCTTAGTTTCGTTGGTAGATTCTGCCCTAACCACCACTGACAAACCAGCCCTTCCCTGCACCTCGTGCAGCCTCTGCTCCTCTCAACAGCCTTGCTTTAAGCTCGCTTTCCTGCTTAGTGATTCAAGCTGTGGGGATCAAAAAATCTGCTTTTAGTTGCTGGTGGTGCAACCGTTTTTGAAATGGCCGTGTCTGTGTGCGACGCTGAGTGTGGGGAAGCTGCTTGTGCTCTGGATGTGAGCGGTTCCCTCTGCTTCCAGAGCCAACAGGCTGCTGATTTCTGACTAACAGAAACCTAAGGGAGGATCTGACGTCCTGCTGTGGTTTTATCACAAAGCAAAATCGTGTTCTCTCCAGCATAAGTGATGGAAAACTCCAGCAGAACCTTCTTCTAGGGGAAAGTGAGGAGACAGAAAGCCAAAATGCCTGTTAGCCCTGTGCAGAAATCCATCTTTCTTGGAGATAAGGCTGGGTGCAAGGGTAGGAAACATAGTGCCATAGGGGCCGTGTAATGGTTCTGCTAATGGCAGCTGTTGGAGTGCCTCCTTTGAGGAGCAAGGTCTGAGTCATCTTGTACTGCATAATTTACTGCTTCTTGGCACATGGGGCTCCAGGAACTTCTGGAGTCGTGGTTCTGTGCGTTGTTTTTTCCCTTGAGGAAAATCTCACTGCAACTTTTTTGGGTTGCATCAGCCGATGCACGCACAGCTTGCATAAGGGCTTCTTTATTACCCCCTCCCAAAGAGGGCTTTGGCTGCCATAGGTTACACTGCCTGCAGGCATATAGATCTGCTCAGGCTGTGGGAGGTGCTGGCACTCAGCAGGCAGCCTCTGAAAGCAGAAAGCTGTGCTGCTGTTCCCAGCAGGGCTTTTTCCAACCCTTCGTGGAGCTCTCAGCTCTCTGGGAGCTGCACCCATAGAGCAGGAGGTTCCCAACAGCCTGGAGTGCACAGCAGCAGCTCTGCCCCACTGGGAGCAGCTGTAGCTCAGCACCCCGGTGTTGCTGGGGGCACTCATGTTGGACTGTAAGTCTCCTGTGTTGAAAACATCCGTCAGGCCTAGTGAGAAACTGATGCCCAGGTAAGTGATGGAAGCAAGGAGCCGTGTTCTTATTCACATTCGAGTTTCTTGGGCAGGTGCTTGACCTCACAAATAGCAGATGGTAACTTCTCTGGATTTGTTCCCAAATAGGTCCGGTGATCACGGGGCAGTACACCAGCTCTGCTGACAAGGTGGTCCTCAGCTGTAACATGAGTGCACCTCACGCCCCCATCAGGGGCCACAAATGGATGCTGGGAGACAAGACACTCAAGGCAGAAGAAGGCAATTCAGACTCTTTCATCACTTACACGTAAGTGTCAGGAGCAAGGGCAGAGAAGAATCTCTGCACAACAGTTGCATTTTAAGCTGGAGACACTTGGTGTTTCCCTAACCCAGACCAAAGTCTTTTTGCTAAAGCTTGCAGCCTTGCAAAAGAAAGAGTCTTTTAGGCTCTAAGGCCACGTGGAACAGCACTCTCTAGTGTTCTCTGCATGATGCTTTGATGTGCATCGCTCTGCTCTTGCAGAGCAAGCAGCGGATTTGCCTGATAGGAGAGCGTTTGCAGGTTGTGGCTGAGCAGATGTGGGAATAGTGGCCTTATTGTGGCAGAGCAGTGAGCTTTCCTTTCTGATTACAGTCAGGCCTGGCTGGCACTGACCCAGCAGCTGTAGAGGCATCATGTCCTTTTGTATGGCAGTGCCGACGTGCCTGTCTCCCCATAGCAACAGGGAGCTGAACAAGGATTAAAGTATTTATAACCCAGCCTCCCTCGTGTGACCTCAATTCCTTAGCTGAGTGGTTTTTGGAAGTGGGAAGCTCGGTGTGCAGCAGAGCTAACAAACAGTTCGTTGTCCCATTGCAGCCGTGGACTGAAACTTTGCTGGCTCTTTCCCTGGAGCGCTGGGTATTAGGGAGCTGCAGAATGAGGGGTTTGTTGCAGTCAGCATAATCCACTAAATCTCACAGCAGCAGTTTTGCAGAAGGTTTTTAACGTGCAGGGAGGGAAGGGCAGGGAGCAGGGCTGCAGTGGGTGCACGATGCTGCATAAACTGGGATGGGAGAAACTGCCTACAGAGGAGGGTGCTGTGCAGGTGTCCTACAGGGGTCTGCTTCTGTACATTGGAAATTGCTCTGCTGATTTGTTCACCAGCAGGGTGATGGCTCATAGGGTGACCTGTTTGGGGTTGTTGGTTGATTTTTTTCTTTGATAGGATCGAGGGGAAGGTTGAAGAACACTCTGGTGTCTATGAATGCATCTATGAAACAAACCCAGTGGCAAAAGGAAACGTGTCTATAGAAGGTAATGTGGTCAGTTTGCTTCTGTGGCTGAGGAGGGGAGTGGGGAAGCTGTGCTCTCCTGAACATCTTCCTTTTGGTAGCTTTTCAGCTTCGTGAAAAACTGCTTCTGGTCTTTACCAGTATGGCTTCAGTGTCTACCTGTGAATTACCAGATGCCCTAGGAGACATTTTCCATTTTATGAAGCAGCTGTAGGGTCAGCCTGAAGCCTTTGCTGTAACCAGTGTCTGTGTTCCCACAACAGTGATAGAAGGGATGGCACCTACTGGTCCAACCTATCTGAGCCTCTCCTGAAGCAGCTTGATGTGCTTTCCTCTTTGAAAATGTCAGATGTTTGGCATCAGGACCCAGCAATGAGCTTCTTAAACTGAAAGGAAGCCTTATGAGTGATCAGACTTTGATGCTGGCTAGGTGGGCTGCAAGGAGTGCAGGTCGTTTGCAGGGAGGTGTCTCATGTCTTTTTGTCTTGCTGCAGTTCAACCCCAAGTTGTAGCATACAAGAAGTCTGAGCATGGGAACGAGGGGGACACAGGTGTGCTGACCTGCAAGAGTCTCTCCTACCCCCCTGTTGGCACCTGGCTCTGGTTCAGAAGTGATCAAACCGTAAGTGCTGTGGTTTGTTGGTTTGTTGCCCCCCTCCCCAGCCCCCTTCTGCTCACCAATAGGAAGGCAGAGGGTCAGAATTAGCAATATCAGAGTATCCTTTACGCTCAGTGCTGTGGCAAGGAGGATTTCTGTAATGATAGCACTGCATGGTGAGCGAGCAGCTCCCCTTGTCCCAGCCCTGATGCTCTCTTTCCCCCCTCAGCTCCCCTTGTCCCAGCCCTGATGCTCAGTTTTCCCCCCTCCTAGCCCGTTGTCAATGGTACTGATCGCTACATCATCAAGTCCAGTGGCAACAAGACAGAGCTACGCATCCTCAAACTGAGCATTGAGCAAGATACAGGTGACTACCACTGCAATGGTACCAACGTGATGGGCCCTGGAAGTGCTACGGTGAATCTGCGCGTCCGCAGCCGCCTGGCAGCTCTTTGGCCCTTCCTGGGAATCGTGGCAGAAGTTCTGGTTCTCGTCACCATCATCTTCATCTACGAGAAGAGGAGGAAGCCAGATGAGGTTCTTGATGGTAAGAGGTGGCTGAGGTCGAATCTTCCTGGGGGAAGTAGCTTGTGGGGTGGAGGCAAGTCGTTCTCATGGAGAGCTCTGGCTGTGCTTTGTCAGACAGGCATTCCGTGTGAGGCTGCCTTTCAGGAATGCTTCTTGTCTAAGCACGGTAGCCTTTACCCAGTTATTTTAGTCTCAAGGAATTGCACTGTAGTGACAGTCCTTCAGCAAGCTGTGCTTTGGCTCAGGAGTGAGAGAAAAGTGGGTGCAGGTTGCGCTGACCCTTTGTCTCACCAATTCCTCTGCACTTCGTTCAGCTGCTTCTTCATGTGGGTGTCTGGAGGACGGGGCTTTCTCTGACCATTAGCATTCTGGAAAAACCAATTAGTAAACAGCAGGCTGTGTTGTCAGTGGTTCTATTAATACCAGGCTTAGCTTAACTGCAGTTCATGAATCTGTTTTGGGCTCTCAGATTCACACATCCTGACTCCTGGGGACTTCCTCCATGCATAGTGTTATCTTTAATCTGTTCAGAAAACACGGTTCCTCCCTTTCCTTATCAGTAGGAATCTTCATTGTGTTAACCAGCTTTGCCTTCCTTATCTGATCCCATTAACAATGAAGTACAGATGCTTGGTATCCTTCCTGCTTGCTAGGTCAGTCGCTTCAGCCCTTTGCTGGGGAGCAGCACACATCAGGTGCACTGAGTGCTACGAAGGGGAAGCAGAAGGACTGGAACTGAATGTTCCTCCTCTGATTGTAGGGCTTCAGAAATTCTACTCAAGGCAGTTTTATGAGTGAATCCGTTCCCTCTGACAGCCCTGGTTGGATGGCAGATGTCTCATGTGTAGCTGTGTCTCTTAGCAAGAAAAAAAAAGAGCTGTAACTGGTTCACAGAATGATTTGGCTTCTGCTGACGTCAATTGGGTCCAGGTCCTGTTGAGTGCTGATCAGTCAGAGCCGTAGGGGATCCTTTAACAGATGAAGACAGGACGTGTGATGCTGAAAGGTCCTGATACCCTCCCACCCTCTGGCTCATCAGCCAGAGATCTTCAGCACTTGGGAACCTGAGCTTGTGGGCGAAGAAACAGCTCTGTATGTGACAGCAGGGCAATGTAAAGCTGTGTTCTCCCAAAATCTTCATAGATTTGACCCTCTTGAGAGGAGCTGGCAGGAAGGGAGTGCTGGGCCAGCTCAGATAAACGCTATTCCCCAAGCATGTGGTTGTGGGCTGGCAATTCCCTATTGGCTAGAGTGGGAAGAGTCTAACTTGTATACGGCACAACCTTGCTGGTGTTACCTTTCCACTCTTTCCTCCTCTGCTGCTGGATGCTAACTTGACTGGTAAGAACTGGGAGATGGCTCCAGCTGTGCTCCTGCATCATCCTCTCACCAGCTGTGTGCAGATCTTGGGACCAAGGCAGCCCCAGTGCTCAGAGCACTGCTGTTCTGCTGCAGAGATGATGGAGCCTTCAGGGGAAGTGGCAGATTGCAAGGAGCTGGTGAAAGGACTCGGTGTCTTCTTAGCTGAGTTTCTCCACGTAGCAACAACGTGCTGTGCAGTGTATGTGTTTTGATTTCACAGTGTGTGTGGGGAGGACGAGGGCTTATTGATGCTTAAAGCCTTGTTTCTGAAGCCTCCTGCATAACAGGAGCTCGTGTCTAAGCTTGCTCCATGTCTGAGCTCAGGCAAGAAGCAGCTTAAAGCTCATACAAGGGTGTGGTGTTGTGATAAGCCCTCCCTGCTCTCCCAGGCCCTGGTGAAATGACCGTGTGGGTTCAGTGCTGTGATATCCAGTGTGTCCAGTAACCCACCTGGGTTGCTCAGCCCTGGGGTTCAAAGGAGTGGAAGAGCCAGAGGTGATTTCATGTTTGTTCTTCCCTGACACCACTCTTTCTTTCTTTTTTTCCTGTGCTGTCCTGGATGTGAAGATGATGATGGAGGCTCTGCACCACTGTAAGTGCCTTGGTTTTTCTGTTGAGTCAGTTTTTATTGCCAGATTGCATTCATTTGGGGAATCTGCTCTGAACATAAGAGCTAGCAGAACGTGAAAGCTGGCTGCTTCCTGGGAGATGTTTCCTCCATGTTTTTTTAATGTGGCCTCTATATAAGCAGAACACTACTTAGAACAGCACAAAAGTCTCCAAAACTGATTGTTCTGGAAGCTAACCTCATCTTGCTCTATCTTACCCAACTCTTTGGGCACGAATCACACCAGTGAGTGGGGTAGGGGTGGGCTTTGGTGCTGCTTTCTTCATTGTGCCTTTTCTCTCTGCAGGAAAAGCAATGCCACGAACCACAAGGACAAGAACGTCCGCCAGAGAAACGCTAACTGAGTCAGAGGTGAGTGCTGCACCTGATGTCACCTGCTGGGTCAGGGCACCCTGGGGACCTGCTGGGTCAGCTCTTCACTCCCTGCAGCCATGGGCTCATCCTGCTGGCTACAGGGCACTGTCCAGCTGGGGTCCTTCATCAAGAAGAGCTTTTGCCCATGCGCTGTTTGGAGGGGAGGGGAAGGAGGCATTGCTGTGAAGTTCAGGCCCAGGCCAGCAGGAATCTGATATGAAACTGCCAAAGCTGCTGGAACAGTGAGAGAGACATGGAAGAAAGCATTGGGCTGTAGAGCATGGGAGGGTCAGGGCTGTCTGATTGCTCCAGCATGGGATGGGTTGAGCTCACAGCTTTGCTTAAGGCAGCTGTCGTCCTTTCTGCTTCATCACCCCCCAGCACAGCCTCGTTGGGTTCTCTAATTGCCTTTTCTTTCTCTTGTGCCAGGTGACGTGTAGCTGAAGAACTTGTCTGGACGTTGTTTTCTTCTAATTTTTTTTTTGTAAAATAGCACCAGGAAATACTTAGCGTGTCCTTGCGATTCAGTTACTTCACTTTCGACAGGAAATTAAGTTGTAGAATCTAAAACACACACTTATTATTATTTTTTTTTTTTAAAGAAAAGAATAAAAGAGAGCTGTGGGAGGGTTTTTTTTCCTACCTGTAAGCGTAAATCCTTTTTTTTTTTTCTTTTTTTCTGATAGTCTGGGTCACTGTTGTAGATGTATTTCTTCATGGTGATATGGAGGGGGGTAGGTGGGGTGATGCTTTCTTTCTCACCTTTGGGAAGAGCTGCGTGTGTGTGATGGGTAGGATTACTTTGAAATGCCTCTCTGTGTGTGGGGAGCAGCAACTGTCACAGCTCCCTGTGTGCTGCAGGTCTGTCCTGGGGGCAGGTCAGGAAGAAACTGCTGTAGCAACCTGTGGAGATGACCTGATCTCCCAATGGGCTTAGAAAGGTAATTCTGGATCTTTCCCAGTGCAAAGAGCGGAGCTGCATGGGAGCAGCTTGCATGTCTTGTAATTGCCAGGCTTCCTGGCCAGCTCCCCCAGGGATGCTCTGGGTGATTACAGTCAAGCAGGCAACCAGGAGGCAGCATTAGAGCTGGGCATTGGCTGAGCATGAGTAGCAATAACTCATTTAATGGGGGGCTGCTGGTTTCTCAAGTTGCTACACTGGAGCAAGCAGATGCTGGGGCTGTGGTGCTGGGGGAGGGGGGTTGCACTGCGTGACAAAGGAGTCTGAGAGCAGGTAATGCTCAGAGGATTCTTTCTTGCTGGGTAGCACTGAGCTGATCCATCTGTTAACATGCTTCACAAATAAAGATGATTCCTCTTTTTGTTTTTTTCCACCTTGGTTTGGCTTCTGGTCTCTCTCTCCCCTTCCTGGTTGGGCCCCCTGGGTTTGCTGGCCTGCTCTGACCCCTGCCTGGCAGCTCATTTTGGAGCACACAGTTTTTGGCTCCCAGGATCCTGCCAGCTCTTTCTGCTCTCTAATCACAGTGCCTACACTTGATGTGTTCAAACCCTTCCAAAAGCAGGAGGTAAGTGGTGCTTTTTCAGGAGCACTGACCTGTGCTGCAGATCTGCTTTCATGGTCTTGTCCTGTTGTGTGGTTACTTGTGGCTCCAAGCAGCAGCTGGAGCTGATGGGCACTGTGTGCAGTATGCAGATATGGAGGCAAGCCAAAGGGAAGTGCACACCAACCTCTTGGGTATGGGCTATGAGCATTGTGGCTGCCTTTCCAGGCAAGCTCTGGCTTTTTGCCCTGTGGAAGCTGGGCTGTGGATTCCTGGAGCTTCTGATCTTGGGATCTCAGTTGCCTGGGTTTTCATCTTCCTGTCCAAGCAGGGCTGGATGAACAAATGGGATACAGCAGGTAGGGGCACAGAGTTATGGTTTGTTCCTTAGCATCTGTTGTGCAAAAAGCACCAGCAAAAAGGCTCAGGAGCCTGAAAGGGCTCTTAATTTTCATCAGTGTGTTTCCAGTGCCTTTAGGCTGGGGAATCAGCATACCTAAAGGTGATGGACTCAGCAACAACCACATGAATCCTGTAGGGAAAACAACTGGTGCCCGTGGTCCTGGCGGGAGCTGTGCATTATTAGGGAGCTGCTGGGACTGGTCAGTGCCTGCAATGAAAGGCAGGTGAGGACAGGCTGGATAAGTGCTGGTGAAAGCAATAAAGCACGGCTGGCTGCTTGGCTCCCAGCTGCTGCCTTTGCTGTGGTATCACATGCCTCCCTGAGAAATCATTCTTCTTGTGGAGGAGAGGGAAGGTGAAAGGCCTCTGGCTGCAGGCTGCAGATGCTGGGGGCTCTTCTTGCAGTGTGTGCAGCTCTGCACTGAGGCTGATGCTCGGTGTTCCCAGCTGCAAAGTGCTGCTTGGGCTCATCATCCTCACTATGAAGCCAAACCCTGGCCTGGGCAAGGATAATTGCAGCAGGGCTTTGCTCTTAGTGCTGTGTTGCTTGTAGGTCCAGCAGCCCAGGACCTTCCCCAGAATGTTGCTGCTGTCCCAGTGTCATCAGCCTGTGTGCCCTGGGCTGACCACGCAGTGTGGCTGTGCTGCACGTCAATGCATTATGCAAGCCCTGGCACAGCCGGCTTCCTGCTTATGGGTGCTATCCTGAGAGAGCTGGGGGGGGAAGAAAAGAATCAATGTGTGGCTTAATGTCCCTGTTGGGGACTGTGGGGCCTGGGCTGCAGCACAAAGCTCTGTTTGTGCCCTTTGTTCTGTGGGACTGGCAGTGGGTGAGGAGCAGCCTGGGAGAGGGGATGCGTGGCTCCGTGCTGCGCTCTGCTGGGCTGCCGGCCCGTGTCTGTGTGTCTGTCCTGCATTGCTCAGCCTCTCCTTGCCCTGAATATCGCACCCCATTTGCCCCTATGTCTCTTTCTCATGTCAGCATGCAGTGCTCTGTGCGACTCTGCTGGGATGGGGGGGCTTGGATCAGCCAGGGGCAGGAGGGGAATTGAACATAGAGTCATTAAGGTTGGAAAGGACTTCTGAGATCCCCACATCCCAAACCATCCCCACATCCCTCAACACTGCATCTTCATTTTTAAACACCTCCAGAGATGATGACTCCAGCCTGTCCCTATCCATGACCACTTTCTGAGTTGAATTTCTTTCCAAGTATCCAGCCTGTGCTTCTCCCAGCTCCCCTCTCACCCTGAAGGCTTGAAGGCGTTTGGGAGAAATTTGCTGGTGTTAAGGAGAAGCAAAGTGAAAGAGCCGATTCTCCCGGTCCCGGCTGGGTTTCTGCTCGGCGGGCAGCACGTAGTGCCAGAATCGCGTCCTCCACGTGCATCCAGCCATCGTTCACCTTCTCACTTCGTGCGCTCGAAGGGGCGATCCCCATTGCAGGTTCCGACGGCAGCTGTCGCTCCGCTCTCGTTATATTTGGCCTCTCAGGAGCCCCGCTCGGTGCCGATCCTGGGCTCTCGATCCTTCGAATCCTCGGGGCATCTCCTCCCCCGAGGCCGTTCGTTGGCCGCGGGGCTGCGCGGAGGGCACGGCTCGAATTGCTACGGATGGGAACGGTGGGAGGCATCGCCGGGGATGCGCAGCCGGGGGCTGCGCCAGCGGGGGGAGCTGCGGAGCCGCTGCGGTCCCGTCTCCCGGCCCGCCTCCGGTCCGCCCCCGGCCCGCCCCACGGCGCGGCGGCGGGTACCGCTCCGGTACCGCTCGGGTACCCGCCGGTGGCCTCGGAGACAGAGCACGATGCGATCGGGCGGGGAGGCGGCGGCGGAGGAGGAGGCGGCCGAAGGGGCCAAACGAAGCGGAGGGGCGGCCGCGGGAAGAGCGCGGAGCCGCGGTGGGAAGGGATCCCCGAACGGAGAGTGCCGCCGTGGGGAAACGCCGCGCAGCCCCAGCGCGGAGCAGCCCCGAGAGCCCAAGGTCTCTTTCTCCTGCGGCGGCGGCGGCGGCGTCGGCGGCGGTGCATCCCCAGGCGGGGCCAAAGCGGCCGAGGAAGGCGACGATGCGGGCGAGGAGACCCGCGGGAGCCAGGCCAGCTTCATGCAGAGGCAGTTCGGTGCCATGCTCCAGCCCGGCGTCAACAAGTTCTCGCTGCGGATGTTCGGTTCGCAGAAGGCGGTGGAACGGGAGCAGGAACGCGTCAAGTCAGCGGGGGCCTGGATCATCCATCCCTACAGCGATTTCAGGTGCGCGTCCCACCGGCTCCCCCCGCATCCCCCCCCCCCATCCCCCCTCCCTTCCCTGCATCCTCCCGGAGCTCTGGGAGCGCGGAGCAATTGCGGGCATCGCTGCGGCGGGGCCAGGCTCGAGCATCCCTGGAGGCCGCGGTGAGGGTGGTGGATGGAGAGGCCGACCGGAGCGCTTCCTCCCGCTTCGGGTTGGGAGAAGGAGGAGGAGGAGGCCGTGCCGTGCCCTGGAGAGGGCACCTTGAGCCGTGCTGGAGGTGGAAATGGGGGATGCGGCCGCGTGTGTGCAGGGAGGGGCTGGCGATGGGCATCCACCTCCCCAAGAGCCGCCGTCCATCCGGGGATGCCAGGAGCTCTCTGCTTGCCCGGTGGGTGCCCGCACAAGGGCATCTTCTCGTCCTTCGCAGGGCCTCGGAACGGCTCAGCACAGCGAGGAGCCGCTGGAGATCCCGCGGGGATCGGGCTCTGCCCCTATGGCTGTCACTGCGGGGTGGGGGGAGGGAGCAGGGTCGTGCTGATCCCTGGGATCCTTAAGCCCTGCTGCACCCTCCACGGCCATGCACAGCTTTGGGAACAGTTTCCTTCCCCCAAGGAGGCCCAATCCCATCCCTAAGATTGAAGGAATTTGAGGAGAGATTCATTTAGTTCCCAGCAGGAATAGTGTCCTCGAGGTGCAGCCTTTGCAGCTTCCAGCTGAGGAATGGCGAACCCTGAAAGAAAGGTTGTGCAGGACCAGCTCCTGCCCATCTCCCCAGTGGGGAAAGATCAGCGGGGAATGCTTCCTGAGTTGCATGGAGGCTCCCATAGGGATGTGCAGCCCTTCTAGGGATGGGTGGCTGAGATCCTGCTGACATCTCTGGCAAGCGAGGCTGCTGGGAGCTCCTGGTCCAGTGACTGTACAGAGGGGCTGGGGGCTGTTAGCCAAAAGTCAGGGGGCCAGCAAGTGGCTCAGCACTGAGTCCCTCTGCACTGTTCTGGTGTTTGGGGGCTGCACTCCAGGGCGAGCAAGCAGCTGTTGGTGTTATGTTGAATCCCCAGTGCATGCAGAGGTCCTCAGGGCAGTGCAAGAGGCTGTGGAATGAGAGTCTGTGCTGAGCAGACAGGATGGTGGCAGGGACCAACGCCTGCACCTCCTGGGTCCTGGCCTCATGTTGGCTCCTGTGCTGCTCTGCATCCTCTGAGGTGCACGGAGGGGCAGCTGGAGCCTCCAGCTTGCTCTCCTTGTATGCACAGTAGCGCAGCCACGGGGCTGATATTCCTGCCCGGATCCCACTGCAGGTGTTGCCCATCCTTGCTTGGCTGCTCAGGGAGCAGCAGTGCTGCAGAGCAGGGGTGTGAATGCTGCGTGGCTCAGCTGGTCACGAGGGTGTTCTCCCATGGGAGCTGCGCCATCCTGCTGTGACCACCGTCATTCCCAAGCCGTTTGGGCTCCCCATCAGCCATGGGGGTTCCTGAGGAGCTGATTTTGGTTCTCACCTCTCTTGGCAATGGGGCTCTGAGGAGAGGGGTGACCATGTGGCCTCACTGTCCCCATGCTGACCGTGCTGGGGTGACAGCAAGCTGGCAACGCTCAGAGCTGGCAGAGCTGGAGCCTCTCTGCAGGCGACCTTGGGGGTGTCACCCTGGGACTGTCCCCTCCCAGAGCTTCTGCCACCAAAACCACTGGGGCAGAGCTCCTGCGTGTGCTGTGATGCTGCATGTGGCATTAAAAGAGTTCCCTGCTTGGTGGGGAGGAGCCACGAGGAGAAACCAAGCGTTATCCCAACCTACAAATGTGCAGAATAAACAAGATTGGCTCAGTGTGGGGCTGGGAGCCCAGCAGCGAGGAGCTCACTCCATTCATACGCGTCTGTATGTATGTCTGTGTATTTCAGATGATTCCCACATTCAAATATATATATACCTATATAATCTGATAATGATAATGGAACATGGACACATCCATGTTTGCCCTGCAAAGCCCATTTTCCCATCTGAAGATAAAATCATTGCCCATCTGCATACGTGACATCATTTCATAATCAGAGGCATTTGGAGATCTGTCTCCTCATGGATGCAGTACGGTGATTATTCATGCAGAATTCAGGGGCAGATTTGCTCCAGGAACAAAAGTCGCTGTTTACATAAATACTGAATTATTAGGAAGCAGCACGGGTGGCTGTTTGAGATCATGAGCTGCAAATTTAATCAAAGAAACCTTGTCCATCGGACAGTAGGCAACGTTGAGCAGAGCCACCTCGTTGCTGGGTGCTCTGATCAGTTGCCTTTTTTCCTTCTGGTCTATAGGGATGAAGGAAATAGAGAGCAGACAGAGACGTTGCACGAGTTCTGTGTTAGTGCAGCTGGCATTGGAGCAGGGCAGTGAGTCAGGGTCAGCTGAGGGCCAAGCTTTGCAGTGACTTTGGATGTGCTGCTGAACTAGGTGCTGTATTTGCATCCTGAGCGAGGGGGGCAGGCGGTGCTGTGTGCGTTGTGAAGCAATGGGGCAGGGATGTGGGGCCAAGAGGAGCACAGTGGCTTTTTGCAGCGTGGTCAGGGTGCTGGGGGGTCCCTTCCCATTGGAGACGTGCGTGAGGCCAGCAGAATGTTCGGCCCATTAGCAACGTGAGCTGCATGCAGGGGTGGTTCAATGAATCACGATGGTCCCCCTTTCCCCAGTGCCCTGAGCATCACTCTGCCAGCTGCCACTGGCTTTCTGCTCCCTGTGCCCATGGCTGGCACTGCCTGCTGCCACCTCCTTCATCCCAGGGCAAAATGGCTCCTGCTGCTCCTCTGCTGGCTGGCAGCTGTGTGCCCTGCGGGGTGACCTGGGCTTGCTCTGAGTCCCGGTGGGGACAATGAAATGCCACTGCTGCTGATCCCGCTGTTAGTTATCCCCAGTGACAGCGAGTGGGAACAGGATGAGTGTGAGCACGCAGACCTGATGGATGGCTGAAAGCCACCGCTTACTCATCAGGAAAAAAGGCTGTGACTGTCTGCCTGGGGGTGACTTTACAGGTTGGTGCCTTTGAGCACTTGGCAAAGACCAAAGCAGCCATCCCTGCCCCATCCCAGGGCTGTTCCTGCACACAGCAGCGCCGTGCACCGATCCCAGCTGTGTCTTTTGGGTCTGTTTGGTGTTGCACCCACTGCTCTGCCTCTGCTCAGGCCCAGCTCCTGGCAGTGGCTTCGTAACCCACTTTTCCACGTGCCCTCATTTTTTAAGGAACTTTGTATTTATGACAAGTTGGCGAATCGCTGCTCCCACTGTGCAAGCTGTGATGGCTGCACGGTCCCTGTAGTGGTTGCATTCTGTGCTGGGGCAGTGGAGGTGAATGGGGACATCCCTGGTGTGCTGCATGCACACATCCCCTGCCCTCTCCTCCCACTGGGGATGGAGCCCTGGGCTCCCTGCTGATGCTGTTGATGCACTGGGGGGGCTGATGGAGTGAGGGCAGACACCATCCCCACCCTCAGTGTCTGCCAGCATCTCCCGCTGCCATTCCTGTGTTCAATTAGGTCAGAAGTAAGGGAGATGGGGGGGCAAGGATCCTAATTAATTTGTTTGGGGATATTTTTAGCAGCCTGGACTGAATCTTTACTTTTATACGTACGCTGCCCTCCAAGGAAGAAAGCATTGGTGTTGCAGCAGGGCCTCCTCTGAGATCTGTGCTCAGGACCAGTTGCTCTTTCCCAGCAGACTGCCCCAGCCCAGCAGATTGCAAAGATCAGAGCCAGCACTGCATGCTGCCCGGCTGGCACCACGATTTCATCTTTGCTCTTCCCTGCTCAGTTTGGCTGATGCCCCAGTGGGACTCCGTGCACTGGGAGCAGCTTGTGGATCTGGGGGGAGGCCCTCGCTCCCCTCTGTGGGGTCCTGCAGCCTCAGCATCGCAGTAAAACCTCAGTGCCCCCCACCCACCATCACCCCCCCACTGTCACCAAGGGCTGTGCTGTTCCAGCAACCGAAGCTGGTCCTTGGGGCTGACTGTGAAGGGAAGAGCACAGCCTGTCCCTTTCTGCCAGCTTGTGGAGGGGCCCTGGGTGTGAAGTCATCGTTGTGCAGCAGTGACATCACTTGTGGTTGCCATGGCGATGTCTCACATGGGGAAGGTGTCATTGGAGAAAGGTCACGAGCTGGGATGCTCAGCTCCTTCCAGCCTTACACCAAGCTGCAAATGCTGGCGGAACGCATGGAGCTGCAGCCCTGACAACGGGGCTGCGTGTCCTGCTGCGACCTTGGTGCATGCAGGAAGGACATGGGCGGAAGGATGGGAGCCAGGAGAAGTGGGGGGCTGAGGCAGCAGCAGTGCGGAGGTGAGGGGGGAGGCATTCTGCTCATTCCCTCCTTGTTCTCCCTCCTTGCTCCAGCTGCAGCTGGACGTGGCCATCTGCTGTGTCCCCCCCATACACACGCTGTCCCCATTGGGTGCTGGCAGGGATGCTGCCCACACAGTGCTGCTGGTTGGGGTTCCTCAGCCATGATATCTCCCCATTCTCAGGGTCTCCCCCCCTTGCTTCAGCACTTGCCTGGGTTTTGATGCTGACTCAGTCAGACCCCACAGCACGCAGCCCCAAGGACCCACACTGCACCCATTGCCCTGCACAGCCCCCTCTGAGCCCAATGCTGCCCTACAGTGACAGCAAAGTGCTTCTGGGCCTGGAGGTGGCACAACCTCACTTCATCCCTTGGGGACTTGCACTGTGACAGCTCCTGCCACCGTTCATAAGGACGCGGCAATGCCAGGGAGGGCTGCAGTGACCCCATCCTCTGTGTTCCTGCAGGTTTTACTGGGACTTCACGATGCTGCTCTTCATGGTGGGCAACCTGATCATCATTCCTGTGGGCATCACCTTCTTCAAGGAGGAAACCACAGCCCCCTGGATCGTGTTCAACGTGGTCTCCGACACCTTCTTCCTGATGGACCTGGTGCTGAACTTCCGCACAGGGATCGTCATCGAGGACAACACGGAGATCATCCTGGACCCTGAAAGGATCAAGAAGAAGTACCTCAAGACGTGGTTTGTGGTGGACTTTGTCTCCTCCATCCCTGTGGACTACGTCTTCCTCATTGTGGAAAAGGGCATCGACTCGGAGGTCTATAAGACAGCCCGCGCTCTTCGCATCGTCCGCTTCACCAAGATCCTCAGCCTGCTGCGCCTGCTGCGCCTCTCCCGCCTCATCCGTTACATCCATCAGTGGGAGGAGGTAAGGGCTGCTGGGCAGAGGGCATCCGGGGCCAGAGGAATCCCAGGCGTGCATACAGACTGTTAGGAGCAGCCCTTCAGAGTAGCCCTGCAGAGGAGAAATCCACCTGCGGGTGCTGGTGGATGAAGAACTTAACATGAGCCAGCAGTGTGCTCTTGCAGATCAGAGAGCAAATGGTATCATGGGCTCCATCAGAAGAGCACTGGCCAGCAGGGATTGTCCCTCTCTACTTTGCCCTTTTGGGCCCTATCTGCTGCACTGCATCCAGATCTGGGGCCTCCACACAAGAAAGACGTGGAGCTGTTGAAGAGGGTCCAGAAGAGGCCACAAAGATGAGCTGAGGGCTGGAGCAGCTCTCTTAGGAAGACAGGCTCCCCCTGTTCAGCCTGGAGAAGAAAAGGCTGCGGGGTGACCTCAGTGCAGCCTGCAGTACCTAAAGGGAGCCTACAAACAGGAGGGGAATCAACTCTATGAAAGGGGAGATGACAGCAGGACAAGGGGAAATGGTTTGAAGTTGAGGGAGGGAAGACTGAGGTTGGATGTCAGGGGGAAGTTCTTTGCTGTGAGAGTGGTGAGGTGCTGGAACAGCTGCCCAGAGAGGCTGTGATGCCCCGTCCATCCCTGGAAGTGTTCAAGGCCAGGTTGGATGGGGCCCTGGGCAGCCTGGGCTGCTGTGAAATGTGGAGGTTGGCAGCCCTGCCTGCAGCAGAGGGGTTGCAGCTTCGTGATCCTTGAGGTCCCTCCCACCCCAAACCATTCTGTGATTCTATGGATGCTCCAAACAGCACCAGCTCCTCTGGGATGGAGGAACGGCCCCAAGAGGGGACTTGAGGAGCGTGCTTCTAGGGCTGGCAGCATCCTTCTGCATCCCCAGTGTCTGTGGTCTGTGGGAACGCTGACAAAGCTGCTTCTGATGACTCCTCGGGGCTGCTGAGCTGCGTGTGTGCATCCAGGTTTGCATTTGTGCGTGCGTGCCGAGGTGCTGGGGATTGCACAGCCCTGGGGAGCTGCAGGAGCTGCTTGGCCCCTCGGGGTGCAGTGGGGGCTGCAGGGGCTGCGCTGGGTGCGTGGCTGAGGCGTGCTCAGCTCTGCTGCGTGGGCTGCAGCTCCTGACAGCACTGACAGATGTGGCCGTGCAGGTGCATGCTCATGCTGCAGCGTGGAGCTGTCTCTGCACACAAGCCTGGGAGGTGCTGGGAGCCTTCTCACCCTCCTCTGCTTCATTTATTCCCAGCTGCTGCATCCCAGCTGCCCACAGCATCCTCCTGCACCTCCCTCCAGCAAGCCCCACGTCCCCGAAGGTCCCCACCACCAACCCTCTTGTCTACCTCTGCCATGGGTCCAACTCTTCACCCTTTTCACTTTCCGAGGGGAATCACCCTGTGGATGAGCTGAGCCGGCGTGTGGCTTGGCAGATTATCCTGATAATCACATCTGCTTACAAAGGGATGGAAGGGGAGGGCAGCCGGACCTGGCGTGCCTTGGGGAGCGCAGCCTTTTGCAGTGTGGGGCAAAGCAGAGCCATGTGCTGGCACTGCAGTCCCATGATTATCATTGTGCCCCGCCAATGGCTCCAGCAGGGCTGTGATAACTCGAGGATGGATCTTCCTCCTGCCCTCCCTGTGTGCCCAAATGGACCCAGGAGCCCTTAGAACCCAGGGCTGAATGCAGGGGATGTGGTGACTTTGCGCTGGTGCCCTTGGTGAGAGGCACTGGGGAAGAGCAGGGCTGTGACTATGGGAAGACACAGGAGCGCTTGGCTCTGCCTTGTCCTGATCCAAGCTTGCAGGCACCCTGCTGGCTATAAATAGGCAGGAGAAGCACGGGCACCTGGGGCTGCTAATGACTCTTTTGGCCAAGGCTGTGCAGGTTGAACCCAGCGCTGCACCATGCAGGGCTGTAGGGGGGTTGGTGCTGCTTCCCAGCTCTTGCTGAGCACCCGACCCCATGGGCAGACAGGGGCTGTGCTGCAGGGATCAGCCTGCACCTTGCACTTGGATAACAGCGCTGCAGGGCTGGAGCTGCATCTGGAGGTTCAAAGCTGGACATGGGGGATATCTATGGGGATCCTGGTGCTGCTGGGCAGGCTGCAGGATGGAGGAGGCAGGGGTCTCACCCACCCTACTCCAAAAGCCCCCAGCACAGGGCTGGGTGGGATGATGTGTGGCCACGCTCATGATGCTGCCTTCCTGCCTCTGCCCTGCAGATCTTCCACATGACCTACGACCTGGCCAGTGCTGTGATGAGGATCATTAACCTCATTGGTATGATGCTGCTGCTGTGCCACTGGGACGGCTGCCTCCAGTTCCTCGTGCCCATGCTGCAGGATTTCCCCCAGAACTGCTGGGTCTCCATCAACGGGATGGTGGTGAGTGCTGCCCTGGCCCTTCTCCTGCTGCTCCCCATTGCCAGACTCTGCTCCATGCAGCACTGAGGGCACAGCCAACCCAGTGAGGACATCCCTGTCATTCAGCTCGTGCCTTATGGCAATTTCATCCCAGTTATGGCCCATTCGTGCCCACATCCTGAGCCTGGGCAGCCTGGTGGGTTTCTGAGTGCTGTGTGTCCCTGCTTTACCCCTCCAGTTTGTTCCACACAGGCGATGCCACCGACCCCAGGGCAGGGCAGAAACTGCAGACGCTGGAGGCTTGTGGTTGCTGTGGGGTTGGGGCTGTGGCTTCAGGGCTCACAGGACATAAGGAGCAGATTGGTCTCCAACAGGAAGAATGCTGATGCAGCTCTGCCCTCGTCCCCTGCCTCCTTCCCCTTCTCATTAGCAAGAAAGCTGCTATTAATAAATAATGGGACGTATTTCTAATTGCTCCCTCTCAGCCCTGCATCCTGATCATCTCCCTGCTCCACCCAGCTCTTCCATTCTCCTCTTCCTGTGCTATTTTCCTCTTTGTCTGCTTTCCTGCCCTTCCTCTGCTCCCCACTCCTCTCCCTCACCATACCTCTCATCAAGGGGAAACCTCCTTGAGGCTTTGTGCATGGACCTTGGGGGGTCCCAATGCCCAGAACTATCACACCCCTGACCAAGCACAACAGTTGAAGAACGCTGCTGCTGCCAGGCAAGCAGCTCAGTCCCTTCACAGTACCTCTGTGTGTAGTTGTAGCTCAGTTAAAAAGTGCAGCATGCCTGAAGAGTGAAAGGGAAGCCAGGAGAGACAGAGCACAGAGCAGAAAGCTGCGGGGCAACTGAGTGCTGTGATGGGAGCAGAGCACTGGGGGAGTGCAGCCAGCCCTGTTGGTGCTCAGCAGTTGGGTTTGTTTGGCTCTCACCTGCATAGTGAGGAAAGCAAAGGAACAAACAGAAAACTCCCAGTGCTGCTGGGAGAACACGAGCAGAGAGCACAGGACCGGGAACTGCTTTATGTCCCTGGGGCTGATGGCTGCATTCCTTGTGGCTGCAGAACGACTCCTGGAGTGAGCTGTACTCCTTCGCCCTCTTCAAGTCCATGAGCCACATGCTGTGCATCGGCTACGGCAAGCAGGCACCCGAGAGCATGACGGACATCTGGCTGACGATGCTGAGCATGATCGTGGGAGCCACCTGCTATGCCATGTTCATCGGCCACGCCACCGCCCTCATCCAGTCGTTGGACTCCTCCCGACGCCAATACCAGGAGAAGGTGGGGCTGGGAGGGGACTGGGGCTTGTGGTTTGATGCGGCTTTGCCCGCTGTGTTTGGGGAGGTGGGGATCCCCCAGCACAGGTCCCAACCCGGTGTGGCCGTTTCTCCCCACAGTACAAGCAGGTGGAGCAGTACATGTCCTTCCACAAGCTGCCCGCTGATTTCCGACAGAAGATCCACGATTACTACGAGCACCGCTACCAGGGCAAGATGTTTGATGAGGACAGCATCCTGGGGGAGCTCAATGAGCCCCTGCGTGAGGTGGGGGGCTCGGGAGCTGAGGATGGCAGGAGGGGGACCTGCTGTGTCACATCCCTCACTGCTCCCCGCCTTCCTTCCCCTATAGGAAATCGTGAACTTCAACTGCCGCAAACTGGTGGCCTCCATGCCGCTGTTTGCCAACGCAGATCCCAACTTTGTGACGGCGATGCTCACCAAGCTGAAGTTTGAGGTGTTCCAACCAGGAGATTACATCATCCGCGAGGGAACCATTGGCAAGAAGATGTACTTCATCCAGCACGGCGTGGTCAGCATCCTCACCAAGGGCAACAAGGAGATGAAGCTCTCTGATGGCTCCTACTTTGGGGGTGAGCATCTATGGGTCCCCGAGTGCGGCTCTCCGTTTCCAGTTCTCTCCATCAAGACCTTTGGCTGTATCACTTCTTTCTCCCTTCTTATCCCCTCCCCAGAAATCTGCCTGCTGACCCGTGGTCGACGCACAGCCAGCGTCCGGGCGGACACCTACTGCCGCCTCTACTCACTATCAGTGGACAACTTCAATGAGGTGCTGGAGGAATACCCCATGATGCGGAGAGCCTTCGAGACCGTGGCCATCGACCGCCTCGATCGCATCGGTAAGGCTCTAAGGGCTGCAGGGCTGCCCTGCAGGCACCTCCCATGATGCCTCTCCTTGTGTCCTACTGATGGGTGAACAGCCAGAGGGGTACCAGAGCCCTGCTGGGTGCTTGGGAAAGAGGCAGCAGCACGTGGCGGTGCCTGCTAGGGGCCTTGAGCGCCGAGCTTCATTACTCTCCCCATTTCTTTTCTTGCAGGGAAAAAGAACTCGATCCTTCTTCACAAAGTGCAACACGACCTCAACTCGGGCGTCTTCAACAACCAGGAGAACGAAATCATCCAGGAGATTGTCAAGTATGACCGAGAGATGGTGCAGCAGGCGGAGCTGCAGCAGCACACGGCCATGTACAGCCCGGTGCAGCCCCAGGTCACCTCCGCCATTGCCACCCTGCAGCAAGCCGTCGCCATGAGCTTCTGCCCACAGATGGCCAGCCCTCTGGTGGGCTCCATGGCGCTGGGCTCGCCCCGCATGATGCGTCGCTTGCAATATGCCCAGGCCGTCCCCAGCCCCTTCGCCGTCTCCCCGGTGCTGCTGCAGCAGAGCCCCCCCCAGCAGCAGCCGCAGCCCCCCGTGCCCCACGCCAACCCGTCGCCCTCGCAGGACCAGGCACAGCCCGCCTCCGCCAGCGCCTTCGCAGTCGCCAGCCCGCCATCCCAAAGCCCCTTGGCCAGCCGGACGTTTGCCTACGGAGGGGCCAAAGGGCAGCTGGGCTCCCAGCTCTCGCTGAGCCAGCAGCAGACGCCCAGTTCGCCCCCACGGTTGGCAGTTCACAAAAGCACACAGGCGCTGCCCACCAGCAGCTTCAGCCAGGATTCACGGCCTCTATCGGCTTCACAGCCCTCCCTGCCCCACGGGCTGGCGGCTGGCGGCACCCAGAGCCCCCCGGCTTCAGTGCACGAATCCTCTGCTTCCATCGGTGGAGGCCCAGCTGCCACCGCCGTCTCGCCGGGCTCGGGTCCCCCAGCCGGGCTGCGGGGTGCGGTGTCCTCCAGGGGGCCCCTGTCTCACCCTGCACCCACTCTGCAGCAGGACTCGGCGGCAGCCCGCAAGGATTCGGTGGGCAGCATGCCTGACACGGACCCAGCCAAATCCAGGCTGTCTTCCAACTTGTGACCTCCACAGGCGTGGGGACAGGGGTGCTGAGGTGCCAGGGCAGCCAGCCTCCATCCCCTCTGCTCCACCCCCACCGAGGAGCCCGTGCCCCTCGGCCACCTCCACCCCTGCTCCCTGGCTTCATCCCACTGCCAGGGACCCATGGGTGGGCACAAGGGGGGGCCGTTTGCCTCCGACCAAAGTTTGGCCCCATCTTCTGCTCCTTGCGAGGAAATCCCACTGCCCCATAGAAGCCACAGATGCATCATCCCCAGTGATCAATGCTGTATATGATATATATGACCTGAATACAAATCTATATGTGTGCATCCGCAGGACACCTCCCTGGGGTCTTAGGCATGTGGGCCAGCACTGGCACGTGCCACTGCCTCCCCTCCCACAGCCCCATGGCGAGGGGTGACAGCCAAGGAGTGGAGGTAAGTGATGGGGTCTGAGGTACAGCAAGCCCCCGCAGACTCAGCAGCCCCCATGCCAGCCAGACTTTGAGGCTGGGGTGACCTCAGCCAGGCAGCCCTGCTGCTGGAGCCCAGGGAGCTGAGCACCAGGGCTGCCACTGCATGGAGCAGCACTGGGCTCTGCTGGCTTGCAGGCTGGGGAAGGCACGGACTGTGTGTGAAATAAGTGTGCCTGTGTGTGTGTATACACAGATGGATGGAAGTGTGCATGGGTGTATGCATGCACGTATGCCCCTGCCTGGCACACTGGAGCCTTCCACGTTGAATGTATGCAGCAACCCATGAGCAAGGAGCCCCATGCCCACCTGCCTTCCTGCAGCTGCAGGGCCAGGGGTCCAGGGCCACACTCCAAGCGTCACCTTTCCATCCAGCCCATCCTGTGCAATAAATGTCAGCAACTGACAGAGCTACACACGACTCCGTCTCTGCTTCTCCTTTGCTACCATCCCTCTCCCCTGCAGCTCCAGCCCTCCAATTCTGCCAGTGGCTACAACCCGGGCTGCAGGAGGGAAGTCTGCCCTTTAAGAGTTGCTTCCCTGCCAGCACCAGCTGTGCAGCAATGGGGAATGAGAGGCACAGGGTACACAGGGCCCCCAAGCATCAGTTACTGCAGGAGATGGAAACAAACAGACCCCTGCAGAAGTGGCCACAGGAGGCTCCTGGCTAAAAATGTAAGAGCCCAGCAGTTGCAACCAGCCCCTCCATGTAGACAACAAACACAGCAGGACAGTTTTGCCTCCAATTCTGCTGTGATGGCCCTGTGAATAACTGAACCCCAACCTGCCAGCAAACAGTGGCAGCCTGGGGAGATATCAGTCCCACGATGGAAGAGCCCAGGCACCCCATGACAAAGATGCTGAGAAGGATGAACTTCCCACCTCATATTTCGAAAAACATTTTATTTACAGTACTGTACATCTCCACCCCTGAGCTAGTGATTTCTTCCTCTGCCTGAGACCCAGCAAGCAGAATTTGAACACATTCCTGGCAAGGGACACAGGTGACAGCCAAGCCAGCTCTGGAGCTGGCAGCAGTAGCACAGACATCTTACGTCAGGGTGAGGATTGCAGAAAGCCAACCCCACCTAATCCCTGATCCCACACTGCAGCCCTCTCCAGATCCTCAGCTGGGACACAGGCAGTAGCAGCAAATAGCACAGACTCACCCCTAACTCCAGCAGCCCCCCACAGCTGCTCCTGCACTCCTCCAGCAGTCCCACTTTGCCCCCAGCATCTCCATTTTGTTCCTGTGTGTTTTGCTGGGCTGACAGCTGTACCCCCATGAGCTGCAGGACAGCAGAGCTTTGTGGGCCAGTGCCTACCATCACCTCTAGGCAGCTGAAGTCCAGAGGTGGTCCAAGGCTCCACTGGCTGCTGGGGCTCAGCTGAAGAAATAGGTGGAGTCTATTACTTTGTTCAGGTTGAATTCCCCTGTGAGAAGCAAGACAGACTACAGTCAGAGCAGAGCCTGATGGAGATGGGGGCAAGTGGGAGAGAATTCGCTTAAGCCCAGCTTTTGCTTCCTGCACAGAACTACTTGGGCTCAGGCTCTGCTGCAGGGATCTCAGAGGTCTTTCAGGGACTGATATCCATGCAGATTTATCTGGGATATCTGGGGCAGTGGTAGGAACAGTGAGACAGATAACAGCAACAGGGAAGGAAGAGGAGACGGCATGGCTCCAGTACAAACCACCACTGCCTCTGGGACAGACCACAACAGCTGCTCAGTGGCAAAGGCCAGCACTTAGCTGGGCTGCTTTATTTTGCAAAGGCAGAACAAAGGTTAGCCAGATGGTCTGGCAGAGGCATAGCCAAGAGATTAGGAGGAGTCAAGCTAACTAACTGCCTTAATCCCATTGCATGTATATCATCTAGATCCTGCTAATTACGATACTGAGAGTCTCAGTCCCAGCTCCAGGCAAATGTTTCATGGTTGGAAACAGATGGGCAAAGAGCAGCAAGACAGGGGACAGCATGAGCTGGGTCAATCTAGGGGAAATCTCAGGGGCAAAGCTCTGGGGAAGGCAGGGGCCATTTGCAGGGATGTTACAGTTCAGGAGCTGTCTACATGAGCTCAGAGATTTTGGGGACCATTCCCTACCTCTCTCCCTCATTTCCAAACTTCCTCTGAGCTTCGCAGTTCCCATCCTGTGCTCCTACCTGTTTTGGGAACGTTTGACAGCTGCTCCATCAGCTTCTTCTGCCAAAGGGCTCTGCTCTCTCTGTCAGGGCTGCGTGAACCAGATGGAAAGCCAGTGAGCAAGGGGAGGGCTGGGAGAAGGTTCTCCCTCCTCCACTCCCCAGCATGGTATCTTGACAACAGGATTCAGCTCTTCCAAAGCACTGCACACCCCACGGCAGCAGGAGCCCAGCCCCAAATACAGGCACTTCAGATCTGAGGATGTTTGCTTTCATTTGGTTCTGGTGGTGATAAACGAGGTTTGCAAACTTGGCCCAAAGCAGTGCTCATCATCACCACTCCTTATTGCCTTGTTCAGTGTGGGAACCAAGGCACATACATCATGGCCCACCCCAGGCCCACAGAAAGTTACAAGCACTGACTTCTACTTCAGTTCTGCAGCAAAAGGATGCAGATATACCTTGTGTTCCATGCTGAGATTTAAGGCAACTCAGGTATCAGTTCAGAAGGAAGCAGAGCTTCCCTTGAGAACAACCCCCAGGCAGATGACATAACCTGGGACAGCACAGCAACCTTGGGGTGGGGAATCAGCATGGGTAGGAGAGTGAGGGCTGGATGCAAGCAATACCTGCAGTAATTCTTCAGCATGAATTTGGATAGATCCTCCAGGATCTTCTGGCTGTGCAGAGCCACGAACTGCTGCCGACAGATCTGATCCAGGGAGCAATGGTGAGTTGCAGGTTAACAGGCATTTTCCCCTCTTTCCCCTCAGTGCTTCTCAGCCAAGTCAGAGGTAAGAGGAGGGAAAGCAGTGGGCAACAGTGAGAAGGGGGGGAAAACTATCAGACAAATCTGCAAGGAGTTGTGTGGGAAGCAGAAGCTGACCCCCATTTATCAGTCCATTGCACAACAGCCCTGCAGCACTTCCAAAGAGCCCAGGGCAAGAGAGAGGCACTGACTCTGCTTCATGCAGTTTGGAGCTGAATCTGCCCTGCACCCAGCTGAAGGCTGTGAGGAGGGGGGGCTGCAGCACCAGGAAATCATCTGCAACCACCAGTAAGCATCCCAGGTTCACCATGCTTGGGTAAATAAAACAGACTATGGAGCAAAGCTCGGGGGAGGGAAGGGCTGGCAAGTGCCCAGAGGACAGATCAGCAAGATCACTGCTCACGAAGGATTTGGGAGGAGACTTTTACCTTGTTCATGATGTCCACAGTGAGTGCATGAGTCCAGTAGCAATCATGGACTGAGACAAAGGTCAGACCCTGCCTGAGAGGCAGCAGAAAGGGTCATGAAGTAGTGCTGAGAGCTCCAGCTCTCTGCCGTGACGCCCTGCTGATGATCTCTCAGCAGAGCCCAGGCAAGAACCCTGCTCCCTACCTGAAGCAATGCAGAGCCGTGAGCATCATGTGGGTTGAGTCCAGGGAATGGATGAAGTTGGGTGGGAAGGCATTTTTCTGCTTCACTGTATCAGGCTTCCTGCAGCACAGAATGGGACAGGGGAGGAGCTGGGGCATTCTCAGGGCTCAGGATGTGAGCCAGGGCAGAGCCAGTCAAGATTTGGGGTGATGGGGCAGCCCTGATGGGCCCCAGCTCCTCCAGCTGACTTTCCATGGCTCAGAGGAATATCAGGAACTTTGGAACAATTTGGCAGGTTCCACTGATGGGAAGGTTTTATCCCCAGAGCACAGACTGAGGCAGCAGAAGCTCAGTGAAAACCACGGGTTCATACTTACTGGTTGCTGTTGCTGGAGTTTTTCACACTCAAGTTCTGCATGCTGCAAGTCAACTGTGGGGGGAGAGAAAGGTGATCAGCACTGCTGCTGAATTCTGGGAGGGGATCATGCCAACAAGGTATTCCACGCTCTGCAGGAAACATCTTTCCTAGATGGGGATGTTGGCAAGGCATTCCAGTCACTGTGGCAGCTGCCATTTCCCAGTGGCACTTTGCCTGCTTCCCCTCCAAAGGATGCTGGCAAGCATCCTTCACCCCTTCCTAAGGAGATGCTGATTCACTCCTGCAGGGGCTGAGAAGAGATTTCCTGGAGGTGGGAGGCACCTGCCCGCTCCATCCCTACATGGCCAACGTGAGGTTGCAGGAGAGTGGCTGTGAGGATGGGATGAGACAGGATGGGGAGCCGTGAGTCAGTGCAGCAGCGTGTGGGAGGCGAGAGCAGCGAGACTGAATCACGCGAGCCCCGAGGAGGGCTGCTCAATGCAGAGAATGGGTCTGTGCCCCAGCTGCCTGAGTGGGATGGGAGCAGCAGATTCCTCAGCAGCACGCCCACACTCTCCAGTCTCTGTGATGAGGCTGGAGGATGTGCCTGCACACACGAATCCTATCTTCTCTGCGAGTTCACCTGCAGGCGATGCAAACTGGCTGGCCTTGTGCTGACTGCCTCGAGGTCTGCTGCGCTTTGCCCTGCTCCTCACGCCTGGGTGGATGAATACCTTCGTCCCACCACCATGCACTCACCACAGTGGGTTTGATCCGATAGTAGGGCTGCACGATGGGGAGACCCAGCGGGGTGACCCACTCCACTGTCCGTCCTGACTGTGCAATGAGCTTGGCGCTCTCCGTCAGCCAGTTCTTGGGCAAAGGGAAGCAGGGAAGAAAGTAGCTGAAGTTAGTACATACACAGCTGGACAGACCTCATCCCCTCCCAGCACAAGTCCAAATTCCTGCCAGACTGAGCGCAGCTCTTATGGGAGAGCCTGGTCCATCACTAGGCACAACCCCACACCTCTGGGATTCTCTTTGGGTCAGGACCCCATGGAGCTCCTTCCTTCTCTTGTCTTTGTATGGGTGGACAAGGGAAGAAGAAAGGGGAAAGAGAGGAGGCACCTTACCTGGATATCTCGAGTCGCTGAGAACATCTCCTTGATGCCATTAAACACCTGCCTTACGAGGTAGTGAGATGCCTCCCATAGGTACTCCTGCACAGACCAGAGGCAGAGTGAGGGGGAGGCAAAGGGGCAGCAAAAGATGCAAAGCGAAGTAATGAGAGTTAGGGTAATCTAAGAGAGCAACTCCTATCTCAGTGGCAACAAGAAATGGTAGCAGGTCTCCAAGAGCTCTGCTGGAGACAAGGGGCCCACTTCCATAAGCACTGGCAGCCAGCTCTCCTCCAGAGCCCCTCCTGCAGGAATAGGAGGTTCAGTTCTGCACATCCTTTGCCAGCTAAGATTTGGGAAAATAAGGAGAGGGCAAGGAAGGAGGGAATCCCACAGTTCTGGGTAGTCCAGGTACCCCTCCCAGCAGGGACTGAGT